CCACCAGAAGAGGAAGGGGATCGAAGGTGACAGCAACCTGTGACGCTGACCTGCGAGTTCCGAACTTCCTCCCCCTTTTTTCTTGGGAAATACACTTTCCCCCTGTTGCTTATCGATACTGTTTACGTTGGGCCGGGTCAGGAGCCAGGCGGGAGCTCGCAGAGGCCTCGGCGCAGCCGGGGGGCGCGAAGCAGCGCCGGGGAGCGGGCCCACAGCGTCCTGCGCAGCGGGGTCACGTCACTAGCACATGTCTTGGGGACTGTCCCCAAGTGTGGAAAGCCATGGATCCTATGGATTTGGTTTCTTCCCGCAGTTTTCTGTAGGTGTAGCACGGCCGGCACGCTGCCGCCCCACCCCAGAACAGCTGTGACAGGTGCGGCAGGTCAGCCCGGGGCCTGGGGTGCAGACGGGGGGTGCCCGCCTGAGCAGAGGGGCCCAGGGGCCCCTGCAGCACGCGCTCCCTGTCTCCCTGCCCGCGGCGTGTTCAGAGTGGTTCAGTAGGAAGGGTCAAATCATAGCATTTTCAATCCGAACAATGCTGAGTGCCTAGGCTTCTGGAGTCTGCTCAGGTTCCGGAGTGTTTTGTACAGAACGGCTGTTGCGACAGCCTGTGTGATGGTGACGGGGGCTGGAGGCCCTGTCGCTGGGGCTGGGAGCCCCCAGCACTGAGCCAGCCTCTTGGGCCGCACAGGGGGCGTGGCCCGGGGCTTCTGTCCCATCCTGGGCGGGGGCATCAACAGAACGAGCCTGGAGGGTGGGGATGCACCCTCGGACGCGGGCTGCCGAGCGCCCCTGTGCCCACGCTGCTGGGGGGGCCACGTGACAGCGTGACGGCCTGGCCCCAGGACCCCCGGTGGAGGCAGGGCTGTACTGGCGTTCCAGGGCAGTGTCGTCACGGCGGGGACCCCTGCTCGCTCAGGGCTGACCTCGAGCCAGGCTTCTGCAGTTGGAGGAGGACCAGGCCGGGCCGACTGCAGATCCCGGGCGTCTCCAGCAGGCTGCGGGGTCCCAGGGCCCGCCTGTCCTGCAGCCTGCTTAGGACCCGGGGGGAGGCCCCCTCGCACTTTGGAGGGCACTGGGCTCCGTCCGTCCGTCTGTCCATCAAGTGCCCCAGACCCAGCTCAGCAGGCCTCACCCCGACTTCAAGCTGCTGAGGGTGTCTGTTTTCTCTGTTACCTTTTCGGTGGTGGTTGTCACGCCCGCTGGTTTCAGTGCGGTGTTTATTTTCCTGTTGTGTCGTTTTTTAAGTGCATCTTGACTAAGTCCTGAGTCCTGTTCGGTGCGGCAGTGTGGCCTCGAAGGCGTGGCCCCCCAGCGCATTCCCCACAGGAAGCCGCGTGCTGCCCTTGGCGCAGCATGCCGTGCGTGCCCTTCCAGCTGCTGCACTGTGCACCGACCGTGGGCCACTGGGGGAGCGTTAAACTCAGCCACACACACAGCCTCGAGCAGCTTCAGGACTGCCCCCAGCCCCACAGCCCCACAGCCCGGCGGCTTTGGACATCTGTGCTAGCAGGGACCCGGGGTGCGGGGACGGGCCACCAGCTTCAGGAAACCCCAGCCAGCTCTGCAGGCGGAGCCTCCCCCCATCCAGCCCTGGGGGCAGAACACTCTGTCCTGGGCCGCTTGGTCCTGGGAAGGCGAATGGAGTGGCTTTTTCTCACCGGTGCTCAGAGGCAGCCTGGAGGCGGGAGCATCTGAGTTCTACTTTGTATGTTTTACAGGTATCTGCTCAGTACTTGGAGTTAAAATAAACAGTTTTTCATAATTCGGGTCTGCTTCTCGTGATGCAGGTCGTGCTGGCTCACGCGCTCCCTCTGACAACGGCTCTGGTGGAAGTGTGGTCTGGGGTCCAAGGTCCATCTGCTGTCCCCAACAAAACCGTCCTCCCAACGACAGCGGGTGCATCCTTCCCCCCGTGTGTGCTCGAGTGGGGTCAGGTTTAGCTGGCCACGTGGCAGCTTGGAGAGAGCCCCTTGCTGAGGTCTGTGGCCTGAGTACGAGGAGCCCGGAGATTTGTGTAGCCAGCCTGACGACCCCCCGTCCACAGAGGGACATGGAGCCACTTGTCAGGAGGGCGGCAGCACCGGCACAAGTGGGCCAACTCCCTGGAAGTCTGGCCGGGGGTGGCCCGCCCTCTCTGTGCTGTGTCCCCACCCCCAGTTGGTACCCAGACCTGCAGGTCTTCCTGCCCAGGCCCCCTGCACTGTCCTCCACCTCCAGGGTCACCCCCTTCCAACCCTGACAAGCCAAGAGGGGGCTTGCCGTGGGGGCGGGGGAAGCGGCGGGGCCGAGGGCAGGCCCAGGCCCACGCGGGCTCTCGGGAAGGGGCGTCCAGCTGGCTTTGGGAGTGAGCACATCTGCCTTTCTCCGGCCCTGAGCTGGAAGCCGGACAACATAGGGCACTGACAGCGTCTTGACCCTCGGGGCTGATGACTGCAGAGGCTGTGGGTTCGTCTGTGGGTTCGTAGGTGTCTCGCCCGCCACACTGCCACACCACCCACTAAAGATGCTGTGGAGGCTCCTCGTGGCTCAGGAGGAAAGCCCCAGCCACGCCTGGCTGCCTCCTCGCCTGTGTTCTTGGCGGGGCCGGGTAGGAGGGCCCTGCAGCCCGGGTGGCATCTTCAGCTGTGGGGTGGCTGGTGCTGGTGCCTGCTGTGGGGACATCCACTCAGTGGGCACGGTTGAATGTCACCTCCTCTGACCAAGGCACAAGGCTCCTGCCTAAGTGTGTTGTCGTGGGGCATCGATGAGGGGCACAGCCCTCCCCAGGGCAGAGGGCATGGGGGTGCCATGGGCAGGGTCAGCTCTTGGGTGGCCAAGAGAGACCATGCGTGGAGAGCGGGCAGCAGGGAGGGGTGGGCCCGAGGCCAGAGCAGGGTGGTTGCCGTAGTCAGAGGTGCAAGGGAACGTGCCTGAGGGGGGTCTCGAGTTTGGGCAGCGGTGCCCCCAAACTCTGAGAAGCCCGCGGACACCCTGCAGGAGGGGTGGACCATGCAGAGGGTGGGGCGCGTGGGCGGGCGCCTCACTTGCTGCAGAGGGGGCCCCTTGCCTTCAGCACGCGGACCAGCGGGGGCAGGACACACTTCCTCCTCCCAAGCCACGCCCCACACTGCGGGCTCGGCGTGGGGGGCGCCAGCTGTGCCCTGGTTCTGGCAGCCTCTGGCTGGACAGCCAAACAGAAAGGTCCGGAGCTGAGCCCGGGGGCGGGGTTGCGGATGTGGCCGGAGAGGGTGTCTGAGAACTGCCCAGTGGCGGACGCACCGTTACTCCAGCCTCAGGTCGGCGGCCCCTCCCGACTGGACTCCTGTCGTTGGGATTTGCAGAATGCGCTCGGACACTGCTGCTCCGGTCACCAGACCTGCTGACGAGGGTGGGAAGACGCGGGTGCCCTTGGCACAGCCCGCGGGGGACAGAGGGCCGCGCCCCCCAGGGGCTGGCTGCGGCTGTCGGCAGACGCACCCCCCGCACTTGCTGCGTGTGCTCTGGGCACCTGCCCCGCCGCACGCTGGGCGTAGCAGACCTAGGAACCTGAGGGTTAGGGTGCGCGGTCGGTATGCAGTGGGTGCTCGCGGGGAAGCAGGGTGCTGGGCCTGGGCCTCCCCACCGTGGCCCCCAGCCCTGCCCTGCAGCCATGCCTGCCTTGTCCTCCGTCTCAGCTGGGCGTCCCCCCCAGGCCCGGTGCCATCAGACCGCCGAGGCCGCTTGCTAAGTAGTCTCCATACGCCTCAGCGATCTGATCTGAGGCTTGAACTGGCAGTCCCTTCCGAAGGCCGTCCTGCAGCCCTTGCCGCCTCCACTCGGACCCCCGGACTGTGCTGTCACCTCTGCCGCGGAGCCGCACCGGTCTGGTAGGTGGCCATGCGCACCTGAGAACAGGTACGTTCTCTTGGCCGAGCCCATGTCTGCGTGCGCCTGTCTGAGCGAGCTCGTGAATTGTGTTGTCGGGCGTTTCTGTATCTTTCTTTATTTTTGGTCAGCGGGCCCTGTGGTTTCCGAGAGAGGTGAGTGACAATCTCCCTTTCTTTTTAGAGTGCTTTAGGCTCCCAGCAAAATTGAAAGGAAAGTACAGAGACGTCGCTGCGCCCTCAAAGCTCCACCCGCTCAGACGCCCCGCCATCACCCTCCCCACCAGATGGTGCATTTGTTTCCGTCAGTGAATCTGCACTGACACGTCATTGTCACCCAGAGTCCCCAGGTCAGGTCACGGTCCTTCTCAGTATCATACAGTCCATGGATCTGCACAGATGTGTGACGACACGTACCCACCATCATGGTGTCACACCGAGTGTGTTTGCTGCCCCCAAAGTCCCCTGTGCCCACTGTCCATCCGTCCTCCCCCACCAGCCCTGGGACCAGCGATCCTTTTACTGTCCCCATGTCTTGCCTTTCCCAGTGTCACGTAGCTGGAATCGCACCGTGTGCGGCCTTTTCAGATCAGCTTCTCTCCCCTAGTGACGTGCGCTTACGGTCCCTCCGTGTCTCTTCGTGACGCGACAGCTCCTTTCTTCTTAGTGCTGGGCGACATCCCGCTGTCTGGACGGGCACAGAGCATGTGTCCACCTGCCGAGGGGCGTCTCGGGGCTTCCAGGTGTTGGCGCCTCTGAGTGAGCTGCTGCAGACCTCGCGTGCAGGTCTGTGTGTGGACACGGGTGGTCACCTCCTCAGGCGAACGCCAAGGAGCGCGACCGTCAGCTCACGCGGTAGAGCTGCGTCCAGTTCTGTAAGGTCCGCCCGGCCGTCCCCCCCGCGGCTGCTCCGTGTGCGTCCCCCGGCAGTGGCGTGAGTGTCTGTGGCCCCTCGTCCTCCCGCGTGTGCTGGCGTCAGTGCCCTGGGTCTGGGCTGTCCAACAGATGTTCTTGAGCCTTTTGCAGACTCAATTTCAGTGCCAGCTCAAGGGCGACAGCTCAATAGGGAGATGGGGCCGGACTGTCAAGGGGAAGCGGGCAACTGTGTC